ATTTCACAGCAGATGTGATGTTTGCTCTTCTTTTTCTGACTATGGCCTAATAATGTTACTTGCAAACTGTAGACGATCAAACCAAAGAATCGTGATTCGCTCATCAGATTTTTACAAATTTTGGTGGCTCGTCACCCATCCAAGAGGTACGAGTGAACCTTTAAATTCCTAGTAGAGAAAATGCATATAACTTTCTTTGTGCATTTGGTTGATTCTTTAGGTGCCGAAGGGGATCTGCTGAGCTACTTATTAACTTCGATGATCACTGGTCATCGAATCTGTCGTTAAGTTCACAAGAGGGTTCTAAATTGTTGGAAAGTGTTGCGGAAGAGAACCACTGGATCTGTGGAAAAGAGGTGCCACGTGGATATTGGGTATGTTGTCTAATGCTAGGCCTAGCGGTTGGCAATGAATTCTTCATTAGGCATTCTTTTATACTAAACTAGAAAATGCAACTTCATATGAATCATTCTTAATTTTGATTTTGAGATATTCTCATTAAATGTTGCAGTAAATCCGTTATATGAATGATAGCATTAGGAGCAAGCAACATCTTGTATCTTTTGACATAGTTTACTTCAACAGCAGCATTATTTGCATGTAGCTTCTTTAGTACTGAGTTAATCTAGTTTCATTGCAGACAGAGGATCCTTAACCACTGTAGAATGTTTAGTCGACACACGTGATCCACATATTTTAGATCCCACAGCCCATATTTATTTACATATCTTGATCTTATCACAAGTAATATCTGTACCTAGCAATAGTTATTCCCTTGAATTTTCTCTTCTTATTTCTGTGTGCCAATGTTGCAGCTGTTCTGCCGCGGCAGTAAAAGTGAAACAAGAGGATTTAGGTGACGCCTCTCTCTCTCTGCAAATGCTTCGAACATATATCTTTACAGCACCTTTACTGAAAGGCCATAGGAGTTGATAAACTATAACACACATACATCTTTTTTTATTGTATCAGCTGTGGTCTATGGGTTTTGATGCATTCACTAACCGTCCGAATTGGGGATGGAGAGAGCCAGTCAACCTTTACATCAATATGTGATTTTATTCACAACTTCTTCATCTGTGAGGAATGCCGCAAGCACTTTTATGAAATGTGTTCAAGGTTTGGAAAACTAACTTTGTGTTGTACCATCATTCAAAAAATATATCTACGACATGCCTGACTGTAGCCATTTACCTGTAGCGTGTCAGCCCCCTTCAGAACTGCTCGTGAGCTCAGTCTCTGGTTATGGAGCACACATAACAAAGTCAATATGAGATTGATGAAAGAAGAAAAGGATATGGGAACTGGTGATCCCTTGTTTCCGAAGGTTACCTGGCCTCCAAATCAGCTCTGCCCATCTTGCTACCGCTCAAGCAAGGTCACCGATGGAGCTGTGGACTGGAACGAGGATGCAGTGTATCAATTCTTGGTTAACTACTATGGAAAGAAGCTTGTATCATCCTACAAGGAGACCTACATGGAGTCTCTTCAGCAACAAGAGAAGAAGATAGTTTCAGAGGATTCATCGATTTCTAATGCTGCAAGCGTCCCAATTGGAGCTGCCCTGGGTGTTGCGATTGCCAGCTGTACATTTGGGGCGCTGGCTTGCTTCTGGAGGGCCCAGCAGAAGAACAGAAAGTACTCACACCATTTACGCTCTTTAAAGAAAATATGATTAGGAAAAAACATTTTAGGTTGGTAGGGTACCATTGTTACCGCGTGACTACGTGGAATTTCATATCACAGAGAAGTGATTAGGTTCTATTTGTCAATTTTTTTACAGGCAAAGAAAGAACTGGAACTGAAAAATAGCCTACCAGTTGCTCACCCTGCACTTCATCAGAGGGGCTCATCAATGAATGTGTATTTTTCTGGACGGATTAAAATCTTGGTAAGTGCTCCAAACAGTGTGGGAAAGGAAATGGTCGGGCAGTCAGTTACAGATGAAAAACTCACAGAAGTACGATGATTAACTCAAGTGTATTTTTTGTGCAACGATGTGAGCTTTGTTGCATCATGTCATAGATCAACGTGTAATAGTTTGACATATAGATTTCGGATGATTGGTGTATACGTTCGGATGTTACTATCCATTTAACGAGTGAAATTTTGAATTCAGTTCGTAGCTTTCTACTAACCTTTATCGTTCTCAGATATTTACCTGCAATTAAATGCTTTGTGATCGATTTATGAAGTGGAGTACTAGTACTACTGACGCCAAACTGTTTCACGGCCCGTTGCGTCAGCGCCTCAGCGAGTGAGCATCTGTCCGTCGCGGCACCGGGATAGCTAATTAGCGGCAGCCGTGGTGTCAAAACACACCTCTTTTAAAAGAATAACTTTAATCTAAAAAAAAATTTGCATGGGAAACTTTTATCTGAAAACTTTGGCCTCAAAACTTTAATTCCAGTTTCTAGTTAAGCAATGCAAACCTGAACTTAAGCAAGCATTGGCAACGGTGAAATTTCCTATTTTATTTCTGAATCTTCTGAATGTGTTTGACTTCGAATTTTTAGTCCAATTTTAGTAGGATGATAGAAAGCCATATTCCGCGCATCCTTTCTTCTTTTGAGAATTTTTCAAGGTGATTTCGTGAGTCAAATTCGGAAAGATGGGAGTTCGGAGAACAAAACTCCGACCCTCCTGATGAATCTGATCAAAGGTGGCCTGTCAACGCACCGTCATCTACTTCCGGTGAAAAGTCAAAGCAGTCTTCGCCTTCGCTTACTCACACTCCTCTCGCGCCCTATGGTAAATTTAGTTACTCATCCAAAAGGCTGATGAGATGGGGGAAATTGCTCGCAGTTTTTTCCAGGAGCTGTACACGAAGGATGAGAGCATCAGGCCGACGGAGCTTTTAAATATGTTTGAGCCAAAGATCACAGGAGAAATGAATGACAACTTAACTCGTCCATTCACTGACGAGGAGATTGGAGATGCTCTGTTCCAGATAGGTCCTCTCAAGGCGCCAGGATCAGACTGTTTTCCGGCCCGATTTTTTCAGAAGAATTGGGCGGTCATGAAAAAGGATGTATGTGAAGCCGTTAAGAAGTTCTTCGAGAATGGTGAGATGCAGGAAGGAGTGAATGACACAGTCATTGTTATGATTCCAAAGAAGAATTCGGCGGAGGAGATGAAGGATTTCAAACCCATAAGTCTATGTAATGTCGTATATAAAGTGGTCGCAAAATGCTTGGTCAGCAGGCTCCGACCATTATTGCAGGACATTATCTCTGAATCTCAGAGTGCTTTTGTACCGGGGCGGTTGATTACGGATAATGCACTTATTGCGTTCGAATGCTTCCACGCCATACATAAGTGTACCAGGGAGAATCAGAATTTCTGTGCACTTAAACTTGACCTGTCAAAGACATATGACAGAGTAGACTGGGGTTTTTTAAATGGGGTGATGCAAAGGATGGGTTTTGGAGATGTTTGGAGGAAGTGGATAATGGCCTGTGTGACATCTGTTCGTTACAGTGTCCGGCTAAATGGTAATATGACAGAGCCTTTCTGCCCAACAAGAGGGTTAAGGCAAGGGGATCCCCTGAGCCCATATCTGTTTCTATTCATTGCGGATGGCTTGTCCAAAATTTTAGAGAGAAGAAAGGTGGAAGGACTTATACAGCCTTTGAAGGTCTGTCGTGCTGCCCCACTGCCCCAGGTGTGAGTCACCTTCTTTTTGCTGATGATAGCTTGCTTTTCTTTAAAGCTAATATTGATCAAGCAACAAGAATAAAGGAGGCTTTGGATCTATTTGAGAGAAGCACAGGACAGTTAATCAACCCAAGTAAGTGCTCCCTTCTGTTCTCTGAATTTTGTCCACAGATTGCACAGGAGGAAATTAAAATTGTGCTTCAAGTCGAAAGATCCAGTTTCGAGGAGAAATACTTGGGCTTACTGTTAAATATGTGATCCAAATTTTGGGTCCACAATATATTCGGATTAGTTTTCTAGTAGAACTTCATATCTATCCTATTAGGTGTCCTTCTATTATCCCCTATATATACTCTTGTAAGCCATATGGGAAGGGGTGACGTTCCCATTGTTATTCCCCTACGTTTGTAATCATCTACCCTATAGTGATCATTACCGGTTGGCGTCCGTGGTTTTTTCCCGCAAGGGTTTTCCACGTAAAATTTATATCTTCGTTGTGCATCTATTTTCATAACAAGTGGTATCAGAGCATTGGAGATCGATCTACTACAGTCCCGGCCACCGGCGATTTTTTCCGATTGAAGAAATCGATCTAATCGGCGGCACGCGTCGTCGTGTTCGTCGTTCCGTCGAAATTCTGTTCAGCGAAATCCAATCCAAAGCGGAGTCGACTTCGTCCTTCCTGCCGTGCGAGAATCAGAGCAGCAGCAGCGCACGCGTCAGGAGAGGAAAAGCAAGCAGAGAGAAAACCTTCCATCTGCAGTGCACGTTCACCGAGGAAAAGTAGGGCAGAAGCCAGAAGCCATCGAGATAGGAGCAGAGCGCTCCTGTACATGTGAATTTTTATTCACGTTGAAATTGCTACGCGCACACAAGCTTGTCTACCAGGAAGTTTCAGATCTATACTACGTGCACACGAGAAGTGTACCAGGTTTCGTGTTTTTTGATAGTTTACCCTAATTTCTTACTAGCAAATTTCAGGATTAATTCCCATGGCGAGTTTGAAGTATGATCTACCGCTCCTGGACCGAGACACAAGATTCTCACTTTGGCAAGTGAAGATGCGAGCCGTTCTTGCACAACAAGACCTCGATGATGCGCTTTCTGGATTTGACAAGAGGACACAGGATTGGTCCAACGATGAGAAGAAAAGGGATCGTAAGGCTATGTCATATATTCATCTTCATCTATCTAACAATATTTTGCAGGAGGTGCTTAAGGAGGAGACAGCCGCTGGGCTGTAGTTGAAGCTGGAACAGATATGCATGACTAAGGATCTGACCAGTAAGATGCACCTAAAGCAAAAGTTATTTTTGCACAAGTTGCAAGATGATGGGTCTGTGATGGACCATCTCTCCGCTTTCAAGGAAATTGTTGCTGACCTTGAGTCTATGGAGGTAAAGTATGATGAAGAGGATTTAGGCCTTATTCTATTGTGTTCATTGCCTAGCTCATATGCAAACTTCAGGGATACTATACTTTATAGCCGTGATACTCTAACTTTGAAAGAAGTTTATGATGCTTTGCATGCCAAAGAAAAGATGAAGAAGATGGTACCCTCTGAAGGTTCAAATTCACAAGCAGAAGGCTTGGTTGTTCGGGGTAGGCAACAGGAGAAGAACACAAACAACAAATCAAGAGATAAAAGCTCAAGTATCTACCGTGGGAGATCAAAGTCCAGAGGCAGGTATAAGTCATGCAAATACTGCAAGAGAGATGGACATGATATCTCTGAGTGTTGGAAGCTACAGGATAAAGACAAGAGAACCAGAAAATATATACCAAAAGGTAAGAAAGAAGAGGAAGGTAAAGCCGCAGTTGTTACTGATGAGAAGTCTGATGCAGAATTGCTTGTTGCTTATGCTGGTTGTGCACAAACTAGTGACCAGTGGATTCTTGATACTGCATGCACCTATCACATGTGCCCGAATAGGGATTGGTTTGCCACCTATGAAGCTGTTCAAGGTGGTACTGTTTTGATGGGTGATGATACACCATGCGAGGTTGCAGGTATTGGAACAGTTCAGATCAAGATGTTTGATGGCTGTATTAGAACATTATTAGATGTGCGGCATATTCCAAATTTGAAGAGAAGTCTCATCTCTTTATGTACTCTTGATCGCAAAGGGTACAAATATTCCGGTGGAGACGGAATTTTGAAGGTAACTAAAGGCTCTCTTGTTGTGATGAAAGCTGATATTAAATATGCCAACCTGTACCATCTGCGAGGTACAACTATATTAGGTAATGTTGCAGCAGTTTCTGATTCGTTATCTAATTCCGATGCTACTAATCTTTGGCATATGCGTCTTGGGCATATGAGTGAAATTGGTTTGGCAGAATTGAGCAAGCGAGGATTGCTAGATGGACAAAGCATCGGGAAGCTTAAATTTTGTGAGCATTGCATCTTTGGCAAGCATAAGAGGGTGAAGTTCAACACATCTACACATACTACTGAAGGTATTCTTGATTATGTGCATTCTGATTTATGGGGGCCTGCTCGTAAGACATCTTTTGGAGGTGCTCGTTACATGATGACTATCGTTGATGATTATTCGCGAAAAGTTTGGCCTTATTTCTTGAAGCACAAATATCAAGCTTTTGATGTGTTTAAAGAGTGGAAAACTATGGTTGAAAGACAAACTGAAAGGAAGGTGAAAATCCTTCGTACTGACAATGGGATGGAGTTATGTTCTAAGATATTTAAATCATATTGCAAGTCTGAAGGCATTGTGCGTCACTACACCGTTCCTCACACACCTCAACAAAACGGCGTAGCAGAGCGTATGAACAGGACAATTATATCAAAGGCCCGTTGTATGTTGTCTAATGCAAGTTTGCCTAAACAGTTTTGGGCGGAAGCCGTTTCCACTGCTTGTTATCTTATAAATCGATCACCTAGCTATGCCATTGATAAGAAGACTCCAATTGAGGTATGGTCTGGTTCCCCAGCAAATTATTCAGACTTAAGAGTATTTGGTTGTACTGCTTATGCTCATGTTGATAATGGTAAATTGGAGCCTAGAGTTATTAAGTGCATTTTTCTTGGTTATCTGTCTGGTGTAAAAGGCTATAAGTTATGGTGTCCTGAAACTAAAAAGGTTGTGATTAGTAGAAACGTTGTCTTCCATGAATCAATTATGTTACATGACAAACCTTCTACTAATGTTCCTGTTGAGAGTCAGGAGAAAGTAAGTGTGCAGGTGGAGCACTTGATCAGTTCAGGGCATGCACCAGAAAAAGAAGATGTTGCTATTAATCAAGATGCACCTGTTATTGAAGATTCAGATTCTTCTATTGTTCAGCAGTCTCCAAAACGTTCTATTGCAAAAGATAGGCCCAAAAGAAATACTAAACCTCCTCGAAGATATATTGAAGAAGCGAACATAGTTGCTTATGCTTTGAGTGTGGCAGAAGAAATTGAAGGTAATGCCGAACCTTCTACATATTCTGATGCTATTGTTTCTGATGATTGCAATAGATGGATAACTGCTATGCATGATGAGATGGAGTCACTTGAAAAGAATCATTCTTGGGAATTGGAGAAGTTGCCAAAGGAGAAGAAACCTATCCGTTGCAAGTGGATCTTCAAAAGAAAGGAAGGTATGTCTCCAAGTGATGAGGCAAGATACAAAGCAAGGCTAGTTGCTAAAGGTTATAGCCAGATTCCAGGTATTGATTTCAATGATGTCTTTTCCCCTGTTGTGAAGCATAGTTCAATTCGCACTCTACTCAGTATTGTTGCAATGCATGATTATGAACTAGAGCAAATGGATGTTAAGACTGCATTTTTACATGGGGAGTTAGAAGAGGACATTTATATGGAGCAACCTGAAGGTTTTGTTGTTCCTGGAAAAGAGAACCTAGTCTGTAGGTTGAAGAAATCTCTTTATGGGTTGAAGCAGTCACCTAGACAGTGGTATAAGAGATTTGACTCTTTCATGCTTTCTCAGAAGTTTAGAAGATCCAATTATGATAGCTGTGTTTATCTCAAAGTTGTTGATGGTTCAGCTATATATTTGCTTCTTTACGTCGATGATATGTTGATTGCTGCAAAAGATAAATCAGAGATAGCAAAGTTGAAGGCACAATTGAGTAGTGAATTTGAGATGAAGGATTTGGGTGCAGCGAAGAAAATTCTCGGTATGGAAATTACTAGAGAAAGACATTCTGGCAAGTTATATCTTAGTCAGAAATGTTATATTGAAAAAGTTCTTCATCGTTTCAATATGCATGATGCAAAACTAGTGAGTACTCTTTTAGCTGCACATTTCAGATTATCTTCAGATTTATGTCCACAGTCAGCTTACGATATTGAGTACATGTCTAGAGTTCCTTATTCAAGTGCAGTTAGTTCACTTATGTATGCAATGGTATGTTCTCGTCCTGACTTATCACATGCATTAAGTGTTGTCAGTAGATACATGGCTAATCCTGGCAAAGAGCATTGGAAAGCTGTTCAATGGATTTTCAGATACCTACGTGGTACATCTAGTGCTTGTCTGCAGTTTGGGAGATCTAGTGATGGACTTGTTGGTTATGTGGATTCAGATTTTGCTGGAGATTTGGATAGGAGAAGATCGCTCACAGGTTATGTTTTCACTGTTGGAGGATGTGCTGTTAGTTGGAAGGCAAGTTTACAAGCAACTGTTGCCTTATCTACTACTGAAGCAGAGTACATGGCTATTTCTGAAGCTTGTAAAGAAGTTATTTGGCTTAGAGGTTTGTACACTGAGCTTTGTGGAGTTACGTCTTGCATTAATATATTTTGTGATAGTCAAAGTGCAATATGCCTTACAAAGGATCAGATGTTCCATGAGAGAACAAAGCACATTGATTTGAGATATCACTTTATTCGAGGTGTGATTGCTGAAGGTGATGTCAAGGTATGCAAGATAAGTACTCATGATAACCCAGTTGATATGATGACAAAGCCAGTTCCTGCTACTAAGTTTGAGCTTTGCTCAAGCTTGGTTGGTGTTACAGTATAGTCCTAGAGACTATTTGGCGCGCGGTGATTTTACCTACATGAGGTATCTTTGGTGATTGATGTTTTTATGCTACAAGAGGAAATTCGTCTCAAGGTGGAGATTGTTAAATATGTGATCCGAATTTTGGGCCCACAATATATTCAGATTAGTTTCCTAGTATGACTTCATGTCTATCCTATTAGGTGTCCTTCTATTATCCCCTATATATACTCTTGTAAGCCATATGGGAAGGGGTGACGTTCCCATTGTTATTCCCCTACGTTTGTAATCATCTACTCTATAGTGATCATTGCCGGTCGGCGTCCGTGGTTTTTTCCCGCAAGGGTTTTCCACGTAAAATTTGTGTCTCCGTTGTGCATCTATTTTCATAACACTTACCAATGCCGGAAGGGAGAATGAAGGCAGAGCAATTTCAACCAATAAAAGAACGATTTGCAAAGCGACTAACATATTGGAGTGAAAGGTTTCTGTCTGCGGCTGGAAAAGAAGCCTTGATAAAAAGTGTGGCCCAAGCCCTGCCAACATACACAATGGGTGTGTTTAAAATGCCGGAAAGATTTTGCGAGGAGTATGAACAGATGGTGAGGAACTTTTGGTGGGGACATGATAAAGGAGAACGGAAGGTACACTGGATTGGATGGGAAAAGTTAATGAGTCCCAAACTATTCGGAGGACTTGGTTTCCGAGACATTAGATGCTTTAACCAAGCCTTACTAGCAAGGCAGGCATGGAGACTGCTCGACAATCCAGATAGTTTGTGTGCTCGGGTGCTAAAGGCGAAGTACTATCCAAATGGATCACTAATTGATACGGCCTTCCCTTCAGGTTCATCACCGACTTGGAAGGGCATCGAGTATGGACTAGAGTTACTGAAGAAAGGCTTGATTTGGAGAATAGGAGATAGGCGTCAAATTAAAATCTGGAGGAGTCAATGGGTTGCACATGGGGAAAACCCAGTGATTCTGCAGAAGAAAGCTTGGAATCGTCTCAAGTATGTACATGAGCTCATGTTGCCGGAAACCAAAACGTGGAATGAGCCTTTAATCAGACATATAGTCCAGGAAAATGATGCATCTGGAATTCTGAAGATCAAAATACCTAGAAGGGAGATGACGGACTTTCCAGCATGGCACCTTGAGAAGACATGAATTTTCACTATCAGGAGCGCCTACAGGTTAGCATGGAATCAATCAGGGAAGGTTCGTGTGGAAGCTTCATCTGGTACGGCGACAAATGGTGAAAGGAAGATCTGGAAGAATATATGGCAAACAAATGTTCAACCAAAAGTGAGAATTTTTGCCTGGAAGCTTGCCCAGGACAGATTGCCCACTTGGGGAAATAAGAGAAAGAGAAAGATAAAACAGAGTGGCATATGCCCGATTTGCGGGATGACTGAAGAGAACGGTTTTCATGCTACGGTGGAGTGCACTCTAGCTAGAGGCTTACGGGAGGCAATGAGAGCACATTGGGTGTTGCCGGCTGAAAGGAGTTTTGCATATACAGGGCCGGACTGGCTATTAGTGCTGTTGGATAGTCTGCAGAGTACATAAAAGGAGCATGTTATGTATTTACTCTGGAGAGTCTGGCACCTGCGAAACGACATGATCCATGGCAAAGGAAGTGCATCAATTGCTGAATCAGTCAGTTTCTTGGTTAGTTATGAAGGCCAACTGTTGCCAATCCGACAACGAGAAGATGACAAGAAAGGAAAGGGTCCTATGTACAGGGAACCGAACCAGATATCTCTATCTACAAGTATCAACAAACTGACTGACAAATGGTGTCCACCGCCGGAGCGCTTCGCTAAGCTGAATGTTGATGCAGGGTTTAGGGAAGAAACCGGGGATGCTAGTGTCGGGTTTATATTCAGAGATTGCAGGGGTTTAGTGCTACTGGCGGCCCATAGAACCCTGCATCAATGTGGTTCAGCTGCCTAGGCAGAGGCGCTAGCATGTCTGGAGGGGATCAGAGCGGCGGTTGACTTGATTCACATGCCCATTGTGCTGGAGATGGACAATGCAGAAATTGTTAGAGATTTAATGAGGCATGATCAGTTGAAATCGGCCTGGGCGACGACGATTGAAGAGATTAAAGGAGTGATGCAATGCCTTCAGCAAGTGCAAGTGCACAAGATAAAGAGAGAAGCAAATAGGGTAGCACCTGTTTTAGCACAAATGGCAATGTGTTCTAGGTCCTGCGCGGAGTGGAGGTTGTGTGCTCCCGCAAGAATTCTAGATTTATTAAATCAGGAGTGTAACCCTTTATTTAAGCATTAATAAAGCTCTCTCTTTACCCTCAAAAAAAAATCTCATGTTACTTTCAACTTAAGCAGGTACATCAGCTGTACCCATTTTCATCGTGTATTGTCTGTATTCTTCTTATGTACAGTAATCTCACTTCATCTTGATTTACTTAAGAAGCGAGTGGCCGCTTACGCATGCACTTTTTTTTTCACAATATTTACAAAGAGCAACTACTCACACATCACACCAATGTCTTGCATATCTTCGTATCTTGATCGCACATCTTGAGCCCAAAACCTCATCCAAGTGACATGCCTTTGTATATACACGTACACATGTTCCATCTCTGAACTTATTGGATGCTGATGACATGCTGTCGCCGCGGTGACTGTGGCGCCTGCTGGTTGATGTTCACCGCAGCAGCAGCGTCTGAAATCTGGCAATTGCATTTTCTGACGGTTAGATTGCAGTGTGAAACAAGCTGCATGGATTGTTCAGCAGCATTGAACTGCAGATTGTGTCTTTTATATCAAGAATTCAGAATGAGGTTGGTGAACCTGCCGCTGGTTGCGTCGATGAAGCAGTTCAGTTAAGGACAGCAAGATGATGTACACAGGTATAACGATTCCAGCCGTTCTAAGCATCAGCAGCTGGTTCAGAAGCATGATTTTGGCTCAAATAATCAATCATCAAAGTAGTAGGGTAATATCAATATGTGTGCTATTATCTGAGAATTCAGAGAATTACAGTGATCATTGCGACGGTGTAAGCATCGTGATCACCGAGGAAAACCGAGATTGCGTCGTGGAGTAGCAAGAGTACCATCAGCTGATGAATTTGAGTGTGTCTGAATGTTAATTTTTGGTGGTGGCACGAAATGATGATTCTTTTTTTTTTCAGGCACTTACAGTTAGAGCAACTATGCGACAATAGATTACACCTTTTGGGTTGGGGAGTTCAGGATCGTAGCTTGTTGAGGCAGCAGCACTTCGGTCTGTGTTTTGCATGACCTGTGCTTGAATGTAACCAGGAGTTCTGCAAATGATAAAGCTTGAGATGATCCATGTCTAATCAGAAGCTCAGAATCGTGCTTCTTTTGTGATGATACATCAATTACCTGAAGAAAATTGAGTTTCTTCCATGTTGAAACAACTTTGCAGGTGCTGTGTAGTTTGGTGTGTATTGCTGTATCCACAGAAATACAGGCTACTATATGTTAATTTCTTTGTAGGAGCAACTTGTTTTGAGATGGCCATGAGTACTAGGTGTTCGGTGAAAATTTCACCTGTAAGCATATCTCACATATGGTGTCTCCCTTCTCATCACACCACCTCTGAATGCATTTGCGATGAGCATACTGAAAGAAACATGTATATAGCACTGTTACAAAATTTATTTCGCAGCACTACTACAGATTAAGAGGTCTGAAATACAGGAACAAAATTTATCATAAGCCTAAAAATATCCTGTGCAGAAGCAAAATACGTTGATGGCCTAAATAGATTCCTTGACCAATAAAGTTGTTTAACAACTAAATCTGGCATACCCCGAATTGCAGAAACGGAATTTAATTAGTTTGATACTGAATTTTACCTTCAAGCTGCCCCTGCAGGAGCAAGGGGTCTCCATGTAGGTCTGATCATCCTCTTCCTGGCAAATTCTACATTCTACAAGAACACCACTCTTCTCCCTCTCATCTTGAACATCATTATGTTCAGAAGCAATCACTGAAGAAGGCATGGCAGCAGCAGAGGCCTCATCAATGGCAGACTGAACAGTCGATTCCGTTAGCAACCGGCCGGCCATTACTGCAAAGTGGTCCGCCATCCCTGAGAAAGTTAAGAAAATCCAAGCACAATAAAGATCAAATCAGAACACATCGTTTACAAATACAAATATGAATGTAATTTGCAAGAAAAAAAAAGCAAATTGTGTATCTGAACATGTTTATCTGACGGCTCAAGATGATTCTTTTCCATTTCACGAAGAAGTGAGCAATTGAGCATAGCAAACGATCATTACCTGCAATTGCAGTTCAAAACAGAGAAAAATCAAGGCATGAGCTTCCTCGACAATTCGAGGAGGTGAGCAAATGCAGAGGCCAAGAAAGGCCAGGAGGAAATAGCAGCTACAAGAGGAGGCTTGCAATGGGGGATTTGGATATCTGAAGACTGAAACATTGGGAGATTGTATAGAGAGAAGCAAGAGATGGAGTAGTTGCCTGTATTATTATTGCCTCTTTGCTTGCTTCTGAGACTTCTTTTTTTCCTGATTATGCTTTAGCTTCTGATATGCTTTAGTTGTTCATGCAGAAAGGGAACCAAAAGCATTAGAGAAATTTGACAGCAAAAACGGAATGATGCTTATTGACTCAAGAAAGCTATTCTTTTCGAGCAAAACTCAAGGAATGAAGGCACTTGACCACAATTGCAGGGGAAGGTTTGCATCATCAAGTCATACTATATTGCCATTTGCCTAAGGCTCAGGATTACCCTCTACCAACGCAAACCTATCTTACAACTGCAGAGTTAAAAGAATAAAAAAAACTCGTTGATTCTGATACATCTTTCGGTTGCCTTTCTTTCTGAATTTTGACATCACTTTTGCAATGTGATTTGCTGGTTTGGATAGTGGAGAAGTTGACAGGTGCAGATGTTCAATGGTGGATTAGGCCTCTCTATGGCTTTTAGGAATTTATTATTATTTACGTATATCTAATCCCAAAAGCGAGGATTCTCTTGCAGCTTCTACTGCTAGTATGATTTCACAGTGTTTATCTAGGTGTATTATTCCACACGTGTTGCACCGGATTGTAATTGAAGCTCCAGAGTGACGTCAGACGGTCAGAGTGAGAACCCCGCAAAAAAAAAAAAAAGTTTCACGGCGAAACATAGGGCTCTTCACCAATCCGGCCCAATGAGCCCAAGCAGAAGAACTCATTGGTCCACCAAAGTCTTCGATATTTCGGAAAGAAAATTAAGATACTGCAAGCCTGCATCGTATTTTTCAAATTTCAATTCACACTATCTCTCACAGCTCACATCCAAATTGAACAGTCCTATCCTAAAAAAAAAATTGAACGGACACAGCATCACTTGAAATTCTGAGTTGAATGGTGCACCTTGTTTTCAATGTTTTCATAGTTTGATCCGCACTGTATTTTTCACAGATACTTCCATCGTCAAAAAAACGAATTTAAAATTGGATGTGACATATTCTAGTAATCCATTAACACAATAAAACTATGATAAAACTACTGAAAAAAATATCTAAATTGAACGGGCGCAGTATAACTTATTCAACGAAATACCCGATTATTTAGAGTTCATAGGTCGACGAAAGAAAAAAAAAGAAGACATACACTCTTGGCCGTTCGATCCCATCCGACGGTCAGGATATCCCGTCCACGTCTCTAGCCCAGATAAACCCTACCCCCCCACTCCTCCCGACTATAAATTCCTCGGCTTCTCCCCTCCGCCGCCTCCTCTCCTAGCCTTCCCCTCCTCCGCCGCCGCCATCTGCCGTCGAGAGCCCCGGTTGCCCACCCCCGCGGCGACGATGGCGGGCCAGGAGTCGCTCACCCTGGCGGGCGTCCTGCGCGGCCACAACGACATGGTGACGGCGATCGCGGCGCCGATTGACAACTCGCCCTTCATCGTCTCCTCCTCCCGCGACAAGTCGCTGCTGGTGTGGGACATCACCAACCCGTCCACCGCCGTGGCCACGGATCCCGAGGCGGCCCCGCCGGAGTACGGCGTCTCGTACCGCCGCCTCACCGGCCACTCCCACTTCGTCCAGGACGTCGTCCTCAGCTCCGACGGCCAGTTCGCGCTCTCGGGATCCTGGGACGGCGAGCTCCGCCTCTGGGACCTAGCCACCGGCCGCACCACCCGCCGCTTCGTCGGCCACACCAAGGACGTCCTCTCCGTCGCCTTCTCCGTCGACAACCGCCAGATCGTCTCCGCGGCGCGCGACAACACCATCAAGCTCTGGAACACCCTCGGCGAGTGCAAGTACACCATCGGCGGCGACCATGGCGCCGGCGAGGGCCACACCGGGTGGGTCTCCTGCGTCAGATTCTCCCCCAACCCCATGGCCCCCACCATCGTCTCCGGCTCGTGGGATCGCAGCGTCAAGGTCTGGAACCTCACGAACTGCAAGCTGCGCACCAAGCTCGAGGGCCACAACGGCTACGTCAACGCCGTCGCCGTGAGCCCAGACGGCTCCTTGTGTGCCTCCGGTGGGAAGGACGGAACCACCCTGCTCTGGGATCTCACCGAGGGGAAGATGCTGTACAAGCTCGACGCCGGCGCCATCATCCACTCCCTCTGCTTCTCGCCCAACCGCTACTGGCTCTGCGCCGCGACAGAGGACTCCGTCAAGATCTGGGACCTCGAGTCCAAGCTCGTCATGCAGGACCTCAAGCCAGAAGTCCAGGCCTTCAAGAGCCAGGTATACCTTTTGCACTTTGCCTCTCTCGTTAGCCTTGCTTGTCACATGTATCGTGCATTCGTTGCTGCCTGAATCTGAATAGGATGTACCGCGTGATGCATGTTCTGTCGTTCTGTCTGATTAGGATGTATTGTGTGATTCGTTCCATCGTGGTTCTCGCGTGTTGCATTTTGGATTCCTGGTGCTATTATTGTTACGCCCTTCAATTTATCAGGATCCTCTGTAGTAGGATAGGGTAGTTTTGATGCTTATTAAGCTCATTGCGAGCAGGTTATCCAATTTAACTCACAGCATCATGTTCATGTGGTCAAGCATCACATGTACGTATGTTATCAGCAGGTCATATACATAATTAGTCCCGCTGATTTATATTTCTAGGTACCGAATCCTCTGTTCTGTGTTGATCTAATGATCTAATCAGTTTTATGATCTGTTCTCAGTAATACGTACTCATCAATGATGCTGTTGATGTTTATGCTCATCCCTTCTCCACTGAATTGTATACATGTATTTATATTACTATATACTAAGTAGATATAAAATGCTGCATTTTATTTGTTTACATGTTAGTTTCATCAACCATGGTGCTGATTGGTCCCTCATGTGCCTGTGTAACTATTTGGAAACCAGCATTTCGGTATACCTCTGCATATCCTTGTAGAGCTGTAGCAATATTAGTCTCTGCTATAAGTAATTCAATTTAACTTCAAACTATAATTTGACCGCACCTTCTCACTAGAGTGGTACAGTTTTGACAAAGTTGATCTTTACACCTTGAATTTTGTGTTAGTTTTGCAAACTTTTCTTAATGTTATGTTTTGTTTATTTTCTACCACGGAAACCTTTTCTGTTACAGTTCTCATACCCCTTTTGATTGAGCACATGCAATTTGTTATAGAGGATGTGCATTCTCCTTGAAATCTCAATAGTCCTTAAATTGTTCTATTGTGCACTTTGGCTGTTTCCCCCTAGACTTATATTCTACTGTGCACCTTGTATTAATATGTATTCAATTCTTTAACTGAACTTGATTACGCATTTATTTTCCTTAAAAAGAATGTGTACTGACACCTGCCGTTACATTTGCTTAGATGCTGTACTGCACAAGTTTGAGCTGGAGCGCTGATGGCAGCACCCTCTTCGCTGGCTACACTGATGGAACTATCAGGGTTTGGAAGGTCTCAGGGTTTGGCGGCTATGCAATCTAGGTGGTGAATTTGTTGAAAGGCTTAGGAATCTTAATTTAAACATCGTGATGCCTATCAAGTTTTTGACAGTTCTGAGGCATAACATTTGCCTGGTACTTTCTACTTCATTTTCATTAATTAATGATTAGATTTGCCAATGAGCTTATCGGTACTCTGGAACTATGGAAGAGGATCCTTATGCATATTTTTTGTTTTTGGCTAAGTTGAAAAGATATTAGTTATGCAACTTTCGGAGCCTCATTGCCTAGATGTAAATAATGCTTCATCAATTGCTATTTTCTGATGATTTTGATGGTGCTAATTAGCTTTTCATCTGCCGCTGATACCTTAAATCTTCCATTTGTTTGCCTTATTTTTTATTATCTTTCATTCTGTGGTTTTTACCGTCACCATCAGGTTAGTTTGTTCTGGACATGTACATTGGATGTTATTGCGTTTGTAATATGTGATGTTTATTTAGCCCCTAAAAGCCTCTTAAGTTAAGAAATAGTATGTGGTATAACTACGACAGACCGAATCACCTGGTGTGGCTGTCATCTAGCATAAGCATTGACCGTATTATCTGCATTTCATAATCAACCACAGTGTTCTTCAGTTGGATAATCAACTGTCACCTGCCTTCTGTTTTCAACTGTGACCATCGTCGTCATATCTTGCCTAACCTCTATCATTTTTTAATTTCATCGTCTTCTATGATTGAAATTTTCTCAATGCTTAGTTTCTTATTAAATCTATGATTGGAATTTTTCTCGATGATTAATTACTTATTTAATCTCAAACACATGGTTATGCAATCCTTCACGCAAACTGCGTCCTCGACCAATCCAGTTTCACGACGAAGTCGTCGACCCGAACCTGGTCAATTATTCTTCTTCAGATTCAGAAATCACCATGTATTAGCAACTCTCTTAACTCGTCTAAAATTGCACCAATTCATTCTATCATTGTTGCCGCCATGTCGTCGTCTTCCTCATTGTACAAGCAGCTCGGCCTCGGAGCCGGCTCTCCCGTCTCCGCCTCTCACCTGCTTCTGCTCGTCCTCGGCGCCGGCTTCCTCGCGCTCACCGTCTTCGTCGTCCACCCCAACGAGTTCCGCATCCAGTCTTTCTTCTCCGGCGGCTGCGGCCGTCCTGGCACGGACGCCGCCACCGCCGCCGTTGCTGCCTCGCCGGTCAAGAATGTCAGCGGCGGCGCAAGTGATGCTGCTGCCGCGACCACGGCGGCGCGGTCGCCGGACAACGACGTGAGGGTGCTCATCGGCATCCAGACGCTGCCGAGCAAGTACGAGCGGCGCAACCTGCTGCGGACCATCTACTCGCTCCAGGCCAGGGAGCAGCCGTCCCTCGCCGGCAGCGTCGACGTCCGGTTCGTCTTCTGCAACGTGACGTCCCCCGTCGACGCGGTGCTGGTGTCGCTGGAGGCCATCCGCCACGGCGACATCATCGTCCTCGACTGCGCCGAGAACATGGACAACGGCAAGACGTACACCTTCTTCTCCACCGTGGCGCGCGCCTTCAACTCCAGCGACGGCGAGGGCTCGGGCTCGGGCTCGCCGCCGCCGCCGCGGTACGACTACGTGATGAAGGCCGACGACGACACGTACCTCCGGCTGGCGGCGCTGGTGGAGTCCCTGCGCGGCGCGGCGCGGCGCGACGCGTACTACGGACTCCAGATGCCGTGCGACCGCGAGAACTTCTACCCGTTCCCGCCGTTCATGTCCGGGATGGGGTACGCGCTGTCGTGGGACCTCGTCCAGTGGGTGGCGACGGCGGAGGAGAGCCGGCGCGACCACGTCGGGCCGGAGGACATGTGGACGGGGCGGTGGCTCAACCTCGCCAGCAAGGCCAAGAACCGGTACGACATGTCGCCGCGGATGTACAACTACCGGGGCGCCTCGCCGCCGAGCTGCTTCCGCCGCGACTTCGCCCCGGACACCATCGCCGTCCACATGCTCAAGGACGCCGCCCGCTGGGCCGAGACGCTCCGCTACTTCAACGCCACCGCCGCGCTCCGGCCATCCCACCTCTGAACCGTGTTCTTCTTCTTCGCGCCTTCTCTCTCTCGATCGTTTTCGTGACGGATTCCCGTTGAATTTGGCGGTTGTTGGTTGGTGGCGGGTAGTTGTTGCGCGAAAGCACGGTGGATTGCCCCTGTGTTCCTAGCTGATTTGTTCCAAATTTCTCGAGTTTAAAATAGATATGAAATGGATATTTGTTCGTTAGTGCTTACGTGTTCTTTGATAAACCAAGTATGATTATTACGCTGACGTTTGCAGCGAGAGAAAAAATAACAGGTGTGTGACATCTTCAGAGGAAAATCACGTCTGATAGAGAATGACACACGGTATGGATAGAACGAGCAATGGTTTCGCCACAATCGGGATTGGATTCTAATCTCGAGGGGATGTCCCTTCGGGTACTTTTTTTTCTTTCAAATTCTATATAAATGATTATGAAAAATTCTGAAAAAAAATGTAGAGTATAGTGATATCTATTGGTCCACCAAAAATCAAATTAAAATTCTACCTACACATCAAGAAAAAAAAAGACAACTTCAGATATTATCATATGAACAATGCGCTACTATTAATATGGTGAATTTGTCTTTTATATATCTGAACGTGTGAGTTGAGTTTTATCGTTGATATGGTCCCAGGGTACTAAGCTCAGGAGAGAAGGCCCTCCCCGTATGACGCGTGTCATAAGACTCCTGAAGGAGTCGCGTCCATGCATTAGGAGCGGCCGTCCCCCCCGCGAGGGGGGGGGGGGGGCTCAGAGCGTTCCCCCGCCCGAGGGGTTGAGCCACCCCGAGGCTCTCACCCGGGCGCCGCATGACGGGAGTGTTGGGGTGCGTGAGCGCCGCCCACCTAACCACATTCATGGTTAGCTGAGCAGCCACCTCCCATCGCATTTAATACGACGTAGGGAGCGTAGTGGGTGCGCCTGTAACCCGTCTGCGACCGGTCTATGACCAGGCGATAGACAGATGGGATAGCGGCAGACGCACCCACGCCTCAAGCTCCTGTTAGGCGGCGTGGGGACAGGTATGCCCTGTCCCATCGTGGATAATGAGGAGCCCTATGTCCCCCATCCGGTCAGCAGTAGGCTTGACTGAAAGGGACGTGACCGGGTCCAATGACCTGGTGTGTGTGTGTGTGTGTGCGCCTATGGAGTCGCCGAGCATTAAATACCGAGTGACGGGGGGCTGTCCCTCGTGTCAACCGGAGAGGTTTGATGGGACCCGCATGACGGCTGGCGTACGGATCGCCTCCGGACCAAGGCGCAAGATATGTGCTGAATATAAACAGTATCCACTCTCTCCCCGAGGAAGTGGGGGGTGGCGTGTGTAGTATCCCCTTGAACTATAAAAGGAGGACCACGCCTAGCGGGGATGGGGGATGAAAAAACCGAAGCTTGTAGACTAGAGATTCAGAGACTTTGTAAGCACAAAAGAATCATCATGCACATAGGAGTAGGGTATTACGCTTTATAGTGGGCCGAACCTGTATAATTCTCTGGTTCTCGCTTTCGCCAAGGGACCTAGTCTTCGACTAATCCACCGCACTCGCATCCTAAAAACTCCTCAAGAATTCACCCGTGCCCCCCGCCGAACTTAAAAAAAAAGGGGGGGGCTCTTAGTTCCCCGCTGGAGGGAATCACTCTTCGATAATTTTGGACTTGAGATTTTGTGAAGTTGTATAGATATATTGTATGAGTGTTCTTAAATTTTTTTCAGAATTTTTTATAAACATTTAGATAGTTTTTTTAAGCAAACGAGGGAATATCCCCTCGAGGGGATCCAGATAGTTTCTAGCCACAATCCGTTAGCAGCCAATCTGCATGGGCCGTACATTGAGCCCAACGTCTGTAAAGACGCAATGAGGCCTCACACGACGATGTATGCAGCCCAACAAAACAAAGCCCGATATTGCAGCAAGCGTCAAACATCCAACATCCAGAGTTAATCAAGTCGTCACGTCACTGTTCCAGCCTAGCTAAGCTAGCAACAAACGGGACACCACCCAATGCGATGATGGGTATGGACGAATGATGCCGCTGGCTGCCGAGACAGACAGAGGCCACAAGAATCCGTCGTCGCCGCCGTCGGGTCGGCGAGCAGATGAGATGGGGGCGAAGGAAGAAGTGATCTGATCGGCATCTGCTCGGGCGCCGCTGTCTCGAGTTGAATGGCAACCGCTATCCGATCCGCTGCCGCATGCGACCCGCGGAGCGCCTCGGGACCATACGTTGTGATGGCCAAAAACACCGGATGATACGGAGAAACCAATGAGAGCTAGTCGCGCTCATGTTTCTGCACGAACAGCCAGAAGAGAATTACTCCGCGAATTATGGGTGACACGCCATGTGCGGTGCGATCCTTTGCCTCTCTCAAATTGATTTTAGGAGTACGACTTGTGTGTGTAATTTCTTTTCTCCTAAGCCCACGATGTTGTGCAAATTGTCAAACTAATTTTGTGCCGGTGATCTCAAGTGCTAGGGGGTACTGTTTAGGTGAAAATGAGACCCCCAGGGTTGCTTTTGTTTCAAGCCTAGTAGCGACAAAGTTAGCACCACCCCCCTCCGCTCGTCTCCATCCGCCACACAGACACTCTCTCCCGGCCGTACGCTGCCGATCCGACGGCTCCCACCTCCCCCACCCCGCCGTACGTGGCCTCGACTCCGCTTTTCTTCCCCCCTCGGCTCCGGTTTCTTCTCCACACGTCTCTCCTCTCCTCCTCCTCCTGACCTCGCCGCCCTCACCCACCACCCGCTCCCGCCGCCGGCTTTAATGCCTCCGGGGACAAGCCCTCTCAAGCGTCAACGACTCATCCACTGCTCCACCCGCGTGGGCGGCGCGTACGTAGACCCTAGCCGGCCTCTACCTGCTCGCTACAGAGCTCACGTACGTACGCGCGCGCGGTGGTGGTTGGCGCGCGCGCGCGTGCGGTGAGGCGTGGTACTAGTATTATTTATTCGCTCCTGCCTCCTGGGGAGGTGGAGGATGCTGGCGATCATGAGCTTGCTGCTGCCGTGGGAGGAGGAGGAGGAGACGACGGAGGCGGCGCCGGTGTTTTGATCCGTCGCGCGCGCGCGGCGAGGTGCGGATCGGGCGGTCGGTTTTGAATTTTGGAGCGGGAATTGCGCCTGAGATCTTTGTATTTATCCTGGTTGTTCATGTATTTTTCTTCTTAATTGCTTCCTTTGGTTGGTGGTTTCAGTAGGAAGAGGTTGGAGACGTGGAGAGGAGTGGCCGTCTCGTTTCAGATTCTTCTGCGCAAATTCTGGTTACAACTAGAAGTTGCAGGACGCGAGAGGGTTGATTGGTAAGGTAATTCTATGGCGTTCGTGTGTTCCTCTCATGTAGGTTGAGTGGTTTCTTGTGTTATGTTTGTGCATTCTAGATCTGATTGATATGCGTTTGTCATCTCCATGAATTCTGTGTTGTTTTTTACGCTAGCCTGACTAATCTGCCAAGTTAATGGCACTGTTTATGTTTTCTGAATGAACACTGCTACACATACTAATTTTTTCTTACTAAATCTTTACTAACAATCATCTCAACCGTTTGATTTAGGTAGATGGAAGTTATGAAAAATCTAGATACATTCATAGCATGACACATCAGTGTTAGAATTTAGTAAGAAAAAGTTAGTATGTATAGACTTTTCCTTTCTGAATAGTAATGTACAACAAGGTGATCAACTGATCATGTACTAATAGTGAACACTTTATGATGTAGTAACTTTTTTTAAAAAAAAACGATATGATATGGAGTAAGTAACTTTCCTTTGTTGATTCCTCGCCGTTGCTTGAATTCTGGTTTTCTGCTCAGCTTTGGTACAGTATCATTATCATCGTACCATCTCTGCATCTCACCAGCAAGCTTGTCGGAATGTTTGCTGCTTCACTATAGAGTTTTAAGGAACCAATGTCCAGAGCTCACGTGTTATAGGTGCAGTAAAGTCGGATGAAATCATGAATATCTGTTTCGGTCTAGACACTTTTCTTTTAAGAATGGTCACCGGGGGCGAAATGCCCACCTGAATATGTTACTTCAAACAATCTTACACAGGGCAGGCTTAGCTTATGCAAGCGTAGGTGGCCCTGGAGGATAATATGGAAGAATACACGGGATATACAAAGAAGAGAATACAAACGTATCACAACCTCCCCCACCTAACACAAAGAGGCACAATAGATAGAAGACAGAAGCTTTGACGTTTGCCACCTGCAAAATCACCCAACAAAATTCCAAATCAAGCAAATGCTAGAACCCTTGTTCGACATCATCCACTTCACATGCAGTCTGGAAACACCAGGAATCGAAAGTGTCGGAGGGCCTCTCCGCCATACGCATGCGGCTCGGTACCCTGGCAGTGTGAAAGGCTGTGGTTGTCGAAGACCACCCGCATCATGCAATCAGAATAATGACTTAGTCATGTTGCTGCTGGGATCAATGCCTGTCGGCGTCCTTTGGGGGAAGGAAGCCCCAAAGGAGGGAGGGCCACTGAAAGATTGAGGCCATAGGCCATCCGCATCAAGTCATCTTCAATCAGTCTTTAACAAATTGCTACTCCCTCTGTCCTAATATATTGCAACCTAGGATGGGATAAATTTATCCCATTCTAGGACAATGAATCTGGACATACCATATATCCAGATTCATAGTCCTAGGATGGGTTGCAATATATTGGGACGGAGGGAGTAGCTAGTTTAACGCCCTCCAACATCCTTCGGGGGAAGGAAGCGCCAAAGTAGGAAAGGCCGCTAAACTTTGCGGACACATTGATACACTGTTAGTCTTGATCTCGTCTAAAAATTTACCATGGTAACAGATCAAACTTGTACTACCTCCGTCCCAAAATAAGTGCAGCCATAAGTTTCCGCGCTCAACTTTAATCGTCCGTCTTATTTGAAATTTTTTTATAATTAGCATTTTTGTTGTTATGAGATGATAAAATATGGATAGTACTTTACTCGTGACTTATGTTTTTAATTTTTTTCAAAAAAATTTCAAATAAGACGAATGATCAAAGTTGGACGCAGAAAACCATGGCTACACTTATTTTGGGACGGAGGGAGTATTTTTCCTTTAGAAAGAAGTACAGTATATACCTTCATCTTGGAAATGACAAAGTTCTCAGTAGTGTGTGTGTGTGTATACTAATATTTTTTCGAAACGTTCGTCATGATATGATTATCTATGAAAATGTTTCTACTGCATTATCATATATTCATATTTTTCCTCGACATATTGTACTATGAGGACAAACTTATCAGTTAATTGACAGGCTGTAAAGTTGTAATGCGCTTCTTACATTTTTGACAGAAGAAGAAGTGCTGTCAACTTTGAGATAAAGGCAAAATTACGAGAAAAAAGACTTTCAAGTTCTTTTGAGGATGAGTGACCCTGGAGAGCCTTCTAAGCATTCCCAATGGATGTCACACTGGACCAAAGGAAGCAGCAGTGCAGAGCCCCAAGTTGGCAGAAGTAATGATTCTCCGGAGGATGCGAAATATGACATTTGCGAGGACAATTCTGGGCCTTCAAACTTTGAGATCATGAAATCTAGATTGTTTGAAAGGCTAATGGTAGGAATCAGCCAAGAAAGAGCTTCGTTGGAGCATGGACAGAAGTTAAATTCTAACATGAAAGTAGTGGTAAAAGATGCTCGCCGACACGCTGTGCAAAACCAAATTGATCAGGGAGACGGGCCAATTCAAAAATCTGTGATGCAAAAAGATGTCTTATATGCTAAGGCTGTTGTATCAAAATCACTTTCCATTCAGAAGCTTTCAGAGTTATCAGTGGATTGTCAGAAACTTGCAGGTTCAGATGACCTGAGTTCAGAGTGGAACCATTTTCCTATGCTTGCAATCAACAGAAAAATTGACTCCATTCTCAACCCTAAGAGGAAGTCTGCAAAGAGTACTGGACCCAATGACGTTTTTGTGCCAAAACAAACTCTGAAGCTAAACATGACTACAGCTAATCTGATGGCATTCTCATCTCAGGAATATGAGCTGCATTCTCATCGAACAACCGACGAGACAATGGATCACTGCAAACATGCAGGAGGCATTGTATCTCGCCTGGAAGATCATGCTGGTGTCATGTTGAATCCTGCAGAGCAAAAATTAAAAGGTCAATTATTGCCAGCAACGTCATGTTCGTGTAGCAAGGATGACAGTAACTCATCTGATAGTCTATTAGATGAGCAGCATACAAGCCGCTACATTGCAGATTCAGATCAGGAACCAACCTGCAGATCTCGTGAAAAAAGGTTGAAATCTTCAGAAAACAATGACACGAACTGTAAAATTGGAAGTTGCTCCCAGAATCAGAAGTCAAGAGCACCTGGACATCATAAACACAAAGGTTCTGCGGGAGTCATGTTTCGTACGTCAGTACCTGGTAAAGAATTTGAAGCTGCTGAAATTAATTGTTCCGACAAAATTAATCAGCGACATCTGAATACACAGAGAATAGTATCTGCAGCGAATGTCACTGGCTCCTGCATACCTGATCCAGCTGCAGACATATCTACAGTAAATGGTAGGGGGGAGGCAGTGACCCAGCCATCGAGCATATCTGGAGATTCAACTAAACGAAAAGCTCCATATTTATTTGAAATGCTAACCATACCTTCCAAAGCTCAAAATATGAATCCTGAAGATTCACTGCCTTCAGGAAACTCGACTGCTTTTGGAGTTCACATGTACGGCACAAATATTGGCAGTCATCTATTTGGAGCAAATAACAAATCATCAACTGAAACTGAAATATTATCCGGCGACAGTCAACATGTTTCAAAATCCTCAGCAGGTAGGAGAGAAGAAGCTCAGATAATACTCATGCGACATTCTTTTAGCTTATATTGATTAAAAGGACTTGTCTCTTTCCAATGTTGTTTGAGTCGAGATTGATTTATTGGGTATGAAAGAAGGCAATAAAAACCTTGAATAAAATATAACAATTTTCTTTATTCCATTGGTGGTATCACTCACAGTTTTGTTCTCTCTTCTTTCAGGCATCGCCTCATTGTTGGCACAAAAGGTACTAGTGTCCTATACTACTCTCATGTTTGGTCGTTATCATATAAGTTTATGCAAATTTACTTTAAAAATGTATATAATATTGTCGGATATGCATTTTTTTTCTGCACCATCAACATTGTTTTCCATATTTAAGATTTTGATCACATATATAATCATATTAGCTTGGACATAGCCCATTTTTCTCTTCTTATATCCTCGCAAACAAGTTACTTCATGCTATCTCATTTATATGAACATGCCGCGGCTAATTCCTATATGGTTGCAGGCAAAATCCGAGCAGCTCGCGACTCTGTACATGAAAGGAGCATCAGGATGCAATGTGAATGAACATCAAGGTGTTTCCTCCAAGGCAATTGTCGCCAATAAGCAACAATGCTACAATCCAAGAACAGCACGCATGGACTTAGATCTCATGCAATTCCAGTTGAGCAGAATGAGAAACCAAGAATCACAAGCGCGAACCGAACCAGGCGACAGATGGCTAAAACGCCTACAGATTGACAGCAAGGACCCTCATCATCTTCCTTGCTCCAAGAGGTCAAAAGCTGGAGACGGATCCGGTCGTCCAGTCACCGGAGGAGCAAGCAGCATGGCACCCCGTTGCGACGGGAGCAACGACGACGACGACATTGTTGACCGTGATCATAAGGAGGAACAAGGATTGGATGAAGGGGTGGAAATTCAAGGCGGCCGAGAAGCATCTCCTGTTCCGGCAAAGAGTGATGACCGGTGGATTGGGAGATGGTGCCAGGGTGGTGTTCCTGTGTACCATGAAGATGATCATGATCAGAGGAAGGAAGTAACAAAGCCTGATCTTGCCGCCGGTGACTCCGGAGGACTTGAAGGTCAGTTCCCAAGCATCAAGGCGATGGCGATGATGGGACGAGCAATGAGCAAGGTTCGGCCGTGTCAGGAAGAGAGGAGGGGATCCTTCATGGTGTGGAAGGCGTAGTAGGAGAGATCCTGATCACGTACAGGTTTTTTTTTCCTGTTTTTTGTTCTGTGTAATGTAGACTGGGCTGCCCTCTCTCCTCCCGTGGCAGCTGGCTTCAGATCCGGTGGCTATCTTATAGGGTATGTTTACCAAAGTATCTTTGTGCCAGCTTGGACTCCCTAATCCTCTTAATCTCTTGGCATCTATGGAAGGAATGCAACTCTAGAGATTTCGACTCTGCGCTCTTTTTTATCAGTGGTTCAGTGTAAACGATGTCTGGTTTTCAGGTTTATGAGGGTAATTCGGTTGACCGTGATAGTTTGGGAGTAATTCGTACTTTTTTCATTTCTAAAATAAATAGTTGTAAATAAATGGATCTACGTGTTATAAACATCTGCATTTATAATGTTAAAAAATTAGTACCCCTCCGTTTCTAAATATTTGATGCCGTTGACTTTTTTAAACATGTTTGACCGTTCGTCTTATTCAAAAAATTTAAATAATTATTAATTCTTTTCCTATCATTTGATTTATTGTTAAATATATTTTTATGTATACATATAGTTTTATATATTTCAGAAAAGTTTTTGAATAGGACGAACAATAAATATGTGCTAAAAAGTTAACAGCGTCAAATATTTAGAAAAACAGAGGGAGTACTCTTTTTGTAAGAAAAAAAAACTTAGTATGACAGCTTAACGGATATATTATGTTTGTTTTTTTTATGTACTAAAAGGGAGCAGTAAAGTAAATAAATCTAGCACTGCAACTTAATGGATCGTCTTTTACTAGAGCTAATGACAGAATGGACAGGACGATTTGCCTTTTGTTCCAACTATCTATGAGACTATGACATACTCATTCCATCCCAAAATATAAGGCTTAACTACTCATAACATAAAGACTAAGAAAATATTTAATCTCCTGCTTGGTTGGATCACCCTAATACATACAAGCAATGTGATTGGAATATTTGATGGTATAGGATTTAAAACAAATCAATTCTATTGGAAAATATTTAATCTCCTGCTTGGTTGGATCACCCTAATACATACACGTCTTATATTATACATGAGAAAAAAATGGTTGTGTGGAAGGGAGTAGTAAGTACGTAAACCATCATCAGTCATCAAATGAATCTAGTAGCTGATTCTAATTAACGGTTGCTATATGCAGATCGACGAGATGACATTAAGGGGGTGTTTAGATCCAGTAGTGTAAGGTTTTGGCGTGTCACGTCGGATATACGGACAGATATTTAAAGTATTAAACGTAGTCTAATAACAAAACAAATTACATAATTCGCCTGTAAAATGTGAGACAAATTTATTAAGTCTAATTAATCCATCATCAGCAAATGTTTATTGTAGCACCATATTATCAAATCATGAAGCAATTAGGTTTAAAGATTTGACTCGCAAATTAATCGCAATCTGTGTAATTAGTTTTTCTTTGCCTATATTTAATACTTTATGTAGATGTTCAAATGTTCGATGTGATAGGGTAAAAAAAAATTAAGGTGGAATTTAAATGGGGCCTAACTCCTAGTAAGACACAAGGAAAGTGACTCCAGCTTTACGAGCAATTTTACTGTCTTTGAGAAGATACCATGAGGTATCACTTTTTGGTACGAGGTATCACTTTTTGGTACTTAGATACTATGAAATAACGAATTTTACACTAAATTTTTGATATCTCATGGTGTATCCTCAAGGACCATAAAATTGCTCCAAGCTTTAGAGCCTTTTGTTCCGACTATCGATGACGTAGGTACGTAAACCATCATCAGTCATCAAATGAATATACTGAAGGGATGGATTTGTCCCTCCAACCAAACATCACCTATTAATTCTAAACAGTTGCTATATGCAGACAAAAGGAATGTGACTCCAGCTTTACAAAAGTTCGTCAACGTAACCTGTCCTTTGGATAGCTGCAAAAGCTCAATTATACACGTAGGAGTAGTTCCTTTGGCTGCAAAAGTAGTTTGGTGATGTGGATGTGATGTTTACATTTGCTGCTGCCTTTGGTGATCAAGTGGAATATGGTAGTACTAAAAAATTTACATTAGCTGACTAGCCATTCGTGATGCTATGTTTGTTGATTTTTCCGATGGAGAGAACGGTGATAGTTTTTTTTTATTATTTATTTATTGGCACGTCTCGTGTCTATATATCGAGACCGATCGTATCCAGGCGCACGACACTTGACAACTCTGTACTACGTAGTTCGTGCTTCTAAAGAGCGCGGGGGAACCCATCGGCGATGCCGGCGCAGTCGGAGAGACTTCGCTTGCCAGCGGCGGCGCCGATGCCGCGCGGTGCGCACGCTCTCTACGGACTACTCGCGCTGCTCGGCGCGTCGGTGGTGGTGTGGTCCGTCGCCGGCAAGCCGCCCGCCGCCCACGCCGGGCACGCACTCGCCGGCTTCCTGCTTTGGCTGCTGGGGATGATAGCACTGCTGCTGTCCCCGTACGCCGCGCAGCCATTGTTCCCGGTTGCAACTACTGCCAATCTCGCCGTGGAGAAACTGAAGCATCGCTTCTCCAACCCCCGGACGCCGGCGCAGGCGCAGGCGCCGGCTTTGGCTTAAAAACCCACCGACATGTACGCGACGCAACGCAAGCGGCAAAGCCGGTCCTACGCCGACCAAGCCGCGCCGTCGTTTACTACTACTACTACTACTCGTACATAGCAAGTGAAGTGGTTTGAGACTTTGAATCTGCTCGTCTGTGTGTGTGTGAATAAAATAAGTTCAGTTTGGCGATAATTCGACTGCAAGTGCAAGCAGTTGGTTTGATTTACTGATCCAGTTCTAGCATTCGCAGCTGATCACGCGTTGTAAATATAAAGCTTTGTTCTTTCCTTCATTTTCAGTATACAAGTTTCTGAAGCTACTGTAACTTCCAAAAAAAAAACTAAAAATAACGAAAAAGGCTGGACGATACTAGTACTACTCGTTATTACTACTAATAATTTACTGTACTACTACTAGTAGCCAAACAAAGGGGACACATTCAATTTACATGCTTCTCATTTAGGAGATTTGGTGCGAAAAGAATAGACATATTTTCAGAAGCAACGAACTTTCAATATCACAACTAGTGACAAAAAAATAAAATAAATTGTATGTGGGGCGAAAGATATAACGAGAATAGCGCCTTACCATGTCCTCTGATGTAGTTTGTTTTCCTTCTCTTTTTTGGTTTTTTCTCTTCACCCTTGGTGATTGTGTACGGTTTACTCCCCTACCTAGGCTGCAATCCATATTGTAGTTCGTTTATTTATGTTCCTAACCTTCACTCTCTTGTTTTCACGTGTACACCTTCTAACCGTAAATGATGTGTTTTTTAAAACGTTCTATGGAAAAAGTTGCTTTAAAAATCATATAAATTTATTGTTTTAAAATTTTAAACTAATACTTAATTAATTATGTGCTAACTCACCATTACGTTTTCAGAATTAGTTTCGAACACAATCTTAATATTAAACCAGTAGCGTCTGTCATTAAAATTACTAGTAGCTCGGTTTGAGAAACCAGACCATTGATTAAGGGCATGTTTGGAGAATTTAAGATTTTGAGAATATGAAAATTTTAGGTTTGTCAGCTTGTGTCTTTTAATTCATTTTCTGATTCTAGGCCTAAAACGGTTTGAATCCAAAAAGCCCAAACCCGCGAAGAAATATCCCAACCCCCTTCGTCCTCCCCTCCTTATCCGCCACCACCAAACCCAAAACCCCACCTCCACATCTCATCCTTCCCATCCATGGCGCCACCGCGCTAAACCCCCCACCACACTCCATCCATGGCGCTCTCCGAGCTCCCGCTCCACCACTCCTTCCGCCTCTCCTCCCGCCCCCACCTCCGCCTCCTCCCGCTCCGCCTTCTCTCCTCCCGCCACGCCTCCTCCTCCTCCTCCACCACCGCCGCCGCGTCCTCCTCCTCCTCCTCCGGCGGCAACCGCGCCCCTCCGGCTCCAAATCCAACCCGAGGCGCGCCGTGGCTGCAGAAGTGGGGGCCCACCGACCCCGCCGCGCCGCCGCCACCACCTCCGGCTCCCTCCCCGACCTCCTCCATCGACCGAATCGTCCACCGCCTCCGCAACCTCGGCCTCGCCAGCGACGACGACGAGCCCACCGCCGCCGCCGCCACGGCCACCGCGCCTCCCGACGGCAACGAGCGCCTCAGCGACCTGCTCGACCGCAGCTGGGCGCGCCCCGACCAGCAGTTCGCCGCCTCCAGCTTCGACGAGTCCGTCCTCCCCTGGGAGAGGGATGAGGTCGCGCGAGGAAGAGAGAACGAGGAGGACGGGGTGAAGAGGAGGAGGGTTAGGGCGCCCTCGCTGGCCGAGCTCACGATCGAGGACGAGGAGCTGCGTCGCCTCCGGCGGCTGGGGATGACTCTTCGGGACCGCATCACCGTGCCCAAGGCGGGCGTCACGCAAGCCGTCACGGAGAAGATCCACGACGCCTGGAGGAAATCAGAGTTGGTCCGGCTCAAGTTCCACGAGGACCTCGCGCACGACATGAAAACTGCTCATGAGCTAGTCGAGGTGTGTGCTATATTAGCCCTTTCTATCAGCATTGGCAGCTTGCTCGTTGTAACTGTTTAATCTATTATGTTTTTTTTTGGATATCAGTTCAGTTTAGTGATTTCTAGTGGCAATTGAACTTGAATTATTATGTTTGTTGCTGTGAATTCGAGGTTTTCGATGAGTTATTAGTTGTGCCATGATAAATGGATTACTTACATGACGTTTGCCTATCGATCAGCGACGGACAGGAGGATTGATCATATGGAGGTCTGGGAGTGTTATGGTGGTTTACAGAGGGAGCAATTACAAAAGGCCTTTGAAATCTGAAACATTGGATGGTAACTCATCAGCGGTGAAAGGGGCAGACGGTACATTGTTCATCCCGGATGCATCAAGCCCCACAGAGCATGATAGCCAGGGGAAGGATGTAAACACCCAACGTGAGATTGCAGCCAGATTAAATATGCAGAATACTGAGGACATGACTGAAGAGGAGCTGGAGTTCAATCAAATGCTTGATGAGTTGGGCCCTCGTTTTGTGGATTGGTGGGGAACAGGCATTTTACCTGTGGATGCCGACTTGTTGCCTCAAACAATTCCTGGTTATAAAACACCATTTAGACTTCTTCCAACTGGAATGCGTTTGACCCTAACCAATGCAGAGCTGACTAATTTGCGGAAGTTAGCAAGGGATCTTCCATGCCATTTTGCTCTAGGTGATTATTTCGACAGTGTTCATATTGTTTATCCCCTATTATAGCTTTTATTTGTTGGTGGCAAACGCCTGACTACTGCTTGATAAAATTCATTTAAGGGAGAAACCGGAATCATCAAGGCCTTGCAGCAGCTATTGTTAAGCTCTGGGAGAAGAGTTTGGTGGTGAAAATAGCTGTGAAACGTGGAATCCAGAATACAAACAACAAGCTAATGTCAGAAGAAATAAAGGTTTGGACACCATGCTGTTGCTGTTTTGACTCATTGACTGGCATACCTACTTACTTCACAGTTCACAGAATTTATGCCAAGGAACATTGAAAACTATGGTAATTGCCAGATTATATCTAAATATACAATTGCTTGTCATAGCTAAGCTGAATATATGATATATCTAGTCGTATTTGAGGCATGAAGAAATTCAACTAAAAATCCTGATAAAAAAGGGGCAACTATAAGGAATACTCAGTACTCACTTACTCAGCAGTAGGTTTTGATGAAGTCCATATTTGTCCTGTGAATATTACAAAATCCATGATTTGTTAAATCATCCAAAGCAACACCAGGGGTTTCGGAAAATAATAACAAAATTGTGCTGCACTGCTTGCTCTAATGAATATAACTTGCTTAATGTAATGCTTTTATTTGTCTAAACACCATCATAGACAATCATGCTTTACCAAGATCATGATGGAGACAGCTTCATATAGTTTAGTTCTATTCCTTGTCGAACTTTCATAGAGTTCCAAAGGTGTGTTTCCATGAATCAACTGTGTTCAACTGTTCATGCACTATATTTGATTTAACCTGTATAGGATTTCTGAATCAGTGAAGCCTTATCTTTTTAACATTATTTCAGAATCTAACAGGGGGCACCTTGCTTCTTCGAAATAAGTACTACATTGTAATATATCGTGGAAAAGACTTCCTTCCAACATCTGTTGCAGCTGCTTTGGCTGAAAGAGAGGAGTTGACAAAAGATATCCAGAATGTAGAGGAGCAGAAAAGATGCATTCCGGTTGTGCACTCAATGGATGACAGTTTAGATGGGCATGCTCTTGCGGGTACTCTTGCTGAATTTCAGGAGGCTCAAGCTCGTTGGGGAAGGGAAGTAACTGCTAAGGAGCAAGAAGAAATGAAAGAAGCATCTTCTAGATCAGTGAAGGAAAAGCTTTTCAAGAGACTAGAGCACAAACTTTCCATTGTAAGCATTTTCTGCATGTTCTCTGATAAAACTTGTCTTATTTTGTATTGCCATTTTTTAATTATGCCGTTGATCTAGGTATGCCAGTGTGCTTATTTGACATATATTTATTTCCATCAGTTGTTATGCATGTTCTTTATTTCTTCTTCAATTGTTCAGGCACAGGCAAAAATACATAGAGCAGAGCGGTTACTATCAAAGATAGAAGCTTCTATGGTCCTTGCTAATCCATCTGATGATAAAGAAATGATTACAGATGAGGAAAGATCTGTTTTCCGTAGAATCGGTTTGCGTCTTAAGGCATACTTGCCTGTTGGTGAGTTTCTTGAACAATAACCTTGGAGAGCATTCTATACTATTTCTATTGATTGATTATTCCCCCTTCCATTTTAGGAATTCGTGGTGTCTTTGATGGCGTCATTGAAAATATGCACTTGCATTGGAAGCACAGGGAAGTTGTCAAATTGATAACAAAGCAGAAGACTCTGCCCTTTGTTGAGGAGACGGCACGGCTTCTAGAGTATGAGAGTGGCGGTATACTAGTCGCCATTGAAAGAGTTACAAAGGGCTATGCACTTATATTTTACCGTGGAAAGAATTATAGGAGGCCTATTAACATAAGGCCTAGGAATCTTTTAACAAAAGCAAAGGCATTGAAGCGTGCTGTTGCAATGCAGCGTCATGAGGTTAGTTTGCTACAAAAGAAAAAAGCAAGAGCAGTACCTTCTTTTTTTATGATAATCATTGTACACAACTTTAGCATCCTTCTGATATTGTTTAAACTCATGAATTGTTATGCAGGCCCTCAGTCAGCATATAGCTGAACTGGAAAACAATATAAGGCAGATGAAGTTGGATTTGGTACGTAATTTCTCATATTACAGAAAAGTAGTTGTGTTTTAATTAAGGCAAACATTTAGCATAACGAACCCTTTTTTCTTCTCATTATACAGCACTAAAACTAATTTCTGTAGGCTTAAAATGTAATATGATGCCATGCCTTTTGTAATTTTTGCCATTTGCATCAGAGTAAAAACATATTAACATGCATCTTAGTTGATCCTCTGCCCACTAAATGGCCTTTAAATTCCACAATATTTACCTATTGTTTTAGCAAAAAAACAAATGTTGTTATTCATTGGCATTTCATTATTAAGGCAACAACTTTCCCTTAGACTGCATTTTTTTTCAGCAGAGATGTTTTTGACAGTGAGGCATATATCTGTTGGTGCGCTAGTGATAAATTGATCATATATGTCTTTTAGTTAATGTCTTCATTGATGAATGCTTTCCTGATTTTATGTCAAAACAAAATAGGGCATTGAGGTTGATGAGGAATATGAAGAGGACGGTTCAGATTCAGAAAATGAGAATAATGAAGCAGTTTCCTCTGCAAGATACGACGAGGTATCCAATCTTTTGAAACTGATGCTGTCTGTTTTAG